ATGCAGTTTTATGGAAGTCTTGGTTTCAATTCACATTGGATTTGATAGACAGGTTCCCATGTTTACAGTCCTCTTGTCTCTTGTTTACTCTGCAACTTGAGGAAGTGTGCTATGGTTAATTTATTTTTCGTCAACAAGTAAACATCTTTGCTGTTTCCTGTGGTGGTGCTGGGTGGAGAGGTTATGTCATTCCTACTTGGTTCAGGGGAAGAGTAGCTAAATTGTTCCTATATGGCTCTCACTGGGGCAGTCAGTTTCCCATTCTTTCTTCTGAAGTATCAAACATTCCATGTTAACACCACTTCCATGTTTTTAGGTGTTTCTTTCAGTTCTGTACCCCACTTGATGTAGGATGTGTACAGGAAGAGATTCAAAGGTAGCTATAATTCACTTTTCTGGGAAGCTGAGGTGAATGGTGACTTTCAGTGGCCTGAAACAGTCTCGACTGTTCTAGAATATGCTGTTTAAAGATCTCAAAATGTAGAGAACCTGTCAGCATTTTTAACAGCTATGGAATGAGCTCTATTTTACACACCAGGTAGTATATCAGGGTGATCTCAAAACAGCAGAAGTAGCAGCGCTTACAGATGCCCCTAACACATGTTGTGTAGGTGCTATTTTTATGCCCCTAATCTTTCCCCCCTTTACTGATCTCTTTGCTTGGCTCTTGGCAGGTCGGTGAATTCCCCTTCCTGTTCCCAAACTGTAGCCACCATTGGTTAGGAAAGGGCATAATCAGAACAGGTGTGAAGAAGTGGCTTTTCTCACTACCTGTGCTTACACTGTGCAACTTCTGACCACGGCTCCATGTTGACGTCAAAAGTTTACACAGGTGCAGAAAATGACTGTGAAAATCCACAGGGAAAGCCCATGGAGGGACAGTAGGAAGCACAGGATGCTAATTCCAGCTTGGGAAGTGTCTGAAAGACAGCTGACTAAAGCCAAGAGTTAGCCCCATGTCCTTCCTATCCTTTTGTATTCTTGTCTAGGTATTTGCTGCTGATTGTCCTTGGAGCTTGAAAATATGGCTAGGTGGATCTTTAGCTGTTAGAGCTGTTGGCTTATCTTTCATGGCAATGTGTGGAAGGTGGTGAAGGCTGAATCAGAGGGTGGAGGTTCTGCTGGTTCTGCTGAGCTAGGATACTGGTGGGAACTGGTTCAAGTCCAGTTGACTTAGCAGCTGGCAGCGCGTTTCTCTACCCCCAAAAGAGCAGACAGCATCACCCCTCTGATCAGGTGCCCCTCCAGCTTACCTGCTTTTTTCTCCTTGGTTCTGTCAGTGCAGCAACTCCTGGAGGATGGAGCTGACCCCTGTGCTGCGGACGACAAAGGCCGGACAGCCCTGCACTTTGCCTCCTGCAATGGCAACGATCACATTGGTGAGTGGAGGGGGAGTTCTGTCTTCCAGCCTCTCTGTGCTGGGAATTTTGAAGGGTGCTCTTTATTTTGCTTCAGCACCTGTCAGAGGTTGCTCTTTTCTGTTCCTTTTGTGTCAAAGTTGCCAACTCTGGACTCAGGATTTGAAAGGGGAGCAGTCCCAGTTCTAGGACTGTACTGGTGCAGAGGGAAGGGTGTCCTTCCTCCCAGTTCTTCACATCAGGGAGCCCAGGAGCAGTGGCACTGCATGACCTTGTGCTGGGTCCTTCTGCATTGCTGTGCAAAGCTCTGTCCCTGTCTCAGTGAGGAAGCTGATGAGCTGAACAGAAGCACCTGTAGGGCAGCCTGGTGCTGCCACATGGACCTGTGGGGCAAAGGGAAGGGAGTAATGTGTCTCTGTTTCATTATTTCTAGTGCAACTGCTTCTGGACCATGGGGCTGACCCAAACCAGAGAGATGGGCTGGGCAATACTCCCTTGCACTTGGGTAAGTGCCACACAGATGAGCTTTGCATGCAGAAAAGTGAGGTGAGAACCTCCTTACTGTTCCTTTCCTCTCCACCTTCCTCTTGCCTGTGCCTCACAGAATGCATCCCCAAATTTAAGGACCTAGGAGGGACTCTGCATTTCATTAGATTCACTCCTTACAAAGATTTAAAGTCAAAGAAAAGGTTTGAAAAATTTGATTTCCCTCCCTTTGCCAGCCCCAAGGAGTGCAAGATCTGTTCCAGATAGAGTACTCAGGCTTGAGTGGGTGGGTACCTTAGCATTTGGGCCGTTCCTCTTTCCTCTGGCAGAGAAGCCCTTTGGGAAGCAGCAAGTTCTTTGCTGGAGCAGAAATTCATTTTTGTTTGTACCTCTGAGTTGTGTGTCCTGTGTTTTCCCTCCCCAGCTGCCTGCACGAACCACGTTCCTGTCATCACGACGCTGCTGCGCGGAGGTAACATTTCCTCTATAACAGTTACAGCCTGTTCCCTTCCTGCCCTGTTGAAACTCTCCAGGGACACCAAATACTGGTGACAGACCTCACTGTCCCTGCTCCTGCATCTTGCAGGGGCCAGAGTTGATGCCTTGGATCGAGCTGGCAGAACCCCACTGCACCTGGCTAAGTCAAAGCTGAATATCCTGCAGGAAGGATTCTCCCACAGCCTGGAGGCTGTACGCCTTGAAGTGAAACAGGTAAAAGAAACAGCCCCATGTTCTGGTAATGGGGTGCAGCCCCTGGCAGCCTCCTGCCCCCTTTACTTAAATGCCTGTCTGTACGCTCTTAACTGCTGTGGGAAGAGCTTGACTTCCATTTTCAGAGACCTTCCTTTTTCCCAGCCTCTACTTTAATTTTTTCCAGGGCCTCCCTTGGCTCTGGTAAGCTGAGGATGCATTGAGTGGATTCTTGAGCTGTATGAAGCATAGTCTTTTCTTCAACCACGATGTAAGAGATGCCTTGTGGCAGGAGAGGGATGAGGCACGAGGCTGTAGCTGTGCTGTACACATTCTCTGTATTCCTAACAATCTGTATTCCTAGCAATCTGTCCTGCTCCAGTATGTAGAGCCATGGAATAGGAAAGCACTCCTGGGCCTGCAAATGCATGGGGTGTGGGCCTCACTTCAGGAGCCACATAGACACAAGGATTTTTATCCTCTTTGCATGAGCAGATCCTGCTGGAATTAGAAGACCCTGCTCCTCACAGTGAGGAGAGCTGACTAGCCATAAAGAAAAGTTTGGTGCTTTCAGGGCTAGACCTTTTGCTGCTTCAGCTGGGCTTATCTCTCTTCCCTGTTCTTAACCAGGCACAAGGATCACAGCTAGTCCATCTGTGACTGGTGACTCATTGGACTCTGATGCTGCCATTAGTGCCCTGTGGTTGCTTTGCCTGGGTTTGTCTCTAGCGGTTGTGTACTCTGTCATGTTCTGCAGCTCAAGGCTGTGTGCTTGGCCATTTAATTTTTCCTGTAGAGACACTCCAGCCCGGTGCAGCTCTCTGATGTTTGCCTCTTATGCCCGTTTGTTTCAGATTATCCAGATGTTGCGGGAATACCTGGACCGTCTGGGGAGGCATGAGCAAAAGGAACAGCTGGATGACCTCTGCTCCAGGCTACAGATGACTAGCACAAAGGAGCAGGTAGGCAGCATTGAGCTGCTCTGACTCACCTCCTTGCACTGGGGCTCCTGCATTTGGGAGAATGCAACTGCATGAGCAGTGGGGCATTGCAGACATGGTTATTGCTCACATTGGGGCAAGTGGGCAAGTTACATGATGACTCATGGTAGTCCTTTAGGTGAAAATTCAAAATGCAGAAAGCATCACAGTGCCAAGCAGCAGGGAAGCTGAGGATCAGATGGGCTGAGGACAGTCAGTTCAAGGCCAGGATCAGCACAACTGCACAGGGTTGCAGGGCCTGGGGGTTTTTTCATACAAAAGACTGGCCCCTAGAAGCAGGCTTAGAGGAAATAGCCCTGATATCATATTTGAGTTTTGGGTAATGTAGCAACATGCTGGTATTTTAGGGACTGGCTAAATCATACAGAATGGAAATCAAGCATCACCTCTTGAAGAATGGGGAGAAACTCCTATTGCCTTAGATTAGGGCTTGTTTGATGATGAGGAAAGTAGCCCTTCTGCATGATTCTTGGCACCAAAAGCATCCTGTCCTAGTATAAGTTCAGCATGGGCATTACTGGCAATTCTAGTGCAAAGGTGGTCCCTGCTGCATGGGAGTTTCTTCTGTGGGGCTGGGTGGCTGCACAGCTGCATTCCCCTCCCTGATGGCCATCTGTATTCTGTCAGGTGGATGAGGTTACAGACCTCCTGGCCAGCTTCACGTCACTCAGCCTGCAGATGCAGAAGATGGACAACAGGTAATGGGCTGCCAAATCATCTTCCTGCAGCAGCAGGAGAAGCCTTAGAGAGAAAAGGAAGCTGAAGTTTGCTTCTCAGATCACTGACTAAACATAGCTGCCAGCAGCCATTCCTGCCCAGACTGACTCTCCAGTGGTGCTCAGACTGTTCTGTCGGTGCTGCCACAGCTGCCCCACAGGAAGGCAGCAGGCTTTGCACAACAAAGGCAACAGACAAGAGTGCTGCAGCTGTGACTTCGGGGTAAAAGAGCTGCTCTGCTTTTTACCAGAGGGGCTGGCGATGAATAGGGTACCCTTTCCAGAGATATTTTGCCTTCTCCTAAGTACATCAGCTCAATGTAGGTGGTGACCAATGCCATGTGCAGTTACCAGCTCTTACTAGTGCACTCAGCAGCTGGCCAGCATCACAGAAAAGCCTGGAACATTCCTGCTTGGAAAAGGCATCTTTTGCCCCCTCCATACTGCTCAATTTCATGAGGGAGAAAGTGAATGCCTTGAACAGCAGAAGGCTTTGTGCTGTGAGAAGAACACACATTTAATTCTGCATGCTAGAAGCTGAGCAAACATTCTGCCTTAAGAAACATGCACTGAGGCTTAATCCTCACCTTCCCCAGAGCCTGCTATCGGAGAGCAGAGAATGTATCTGGTTGCAAATGGGATACAAAGTTTTTCATGGCTAGACTAACACCTTTCACTGGACCCATTTTTTAAGTCTGCTGCAAGTTAGTGCTAAAATAGTACAGTATAACACTTCCAAAAAGTACCCAGCAAGCCGGTCAGAGCTGCCCTGTTGGCGAGAATAAGGACAGGAGGGTGACAATCTTAACGCAGTTCTAGTCAGACACCTACGTCTTGCAAAAAAGCCCCACCATAACTAACATTTCCTGCTACTGGCAGTCTCAGGCAAGAGGTCCAGTTGTGCCAGGAGGATGGAGGTGGATTTACCTCTGCCTCAGCAGCACCAAACCCATTGCTCAGCCATTCTGCATCTCTTGCTTGTCTTGGAGAACCTTAAGTGCAGTGTGAGAAACAAATTATAGTTTATGCTGGGAGCCTGAAGTGATGCAGCTATGAAGGATGCAGGGAAATGCTCCTTCTGCTCTCTCGCTTCTGCCCACTGTGGTTAGCAATGAAGATTTAGGTTGCTTTGTTGTGGAGCAGACATTCAGGAAATCTCACTGATCGGGCACCAACAGCAACAGGGTGATAGGAACATGTCAGTAGTGATGTGAATTCCCACCTGTGTACCACACCATGGTGTGCTGGCAGCCACACCTATCTCACAGCTTGGGAGTCACTGGTTTGAAAGAGGTTATTATTAAGATTCACCTTAAATATGCAGCAACCACAGTTTGGAGAGTTCTTCAGAGATCCTTAGGTCAGCATGCTCTCTGATACCTGCCTCTTGTCCAGGAAGAGGCTGAGTGGACTTCTGTTCAAAGCTGAGATACCAGAAATAGGCATGTCTTTTAGATGGGTTCATCTGTGGGCTGCTGGAGAACACAGCTGCGAGCAGCAGTCCCATGGCTGGGCTGGAGCTGTCACTGTGCATATTCATTACAATGTGCTGGATGAGAAGGATGACGAGAGGGTAGGAGACAATCTGACCTTTTTGTATTTTCAACTTCAATAAAATCCTATCATCCTTTTGTGACTCCTCGGCCAAGTTCTCTTTTTCAAAGCGACCCATTTCTCTTTCTTTACGTCTGTTCCAGTCCCCATGCACAGCACTGGACTTGCTAAACGCTACTCTCATACCTGGTCCTCAAATCAGAAGTGACAACACAAAGTTGTTTGAGTTCAATCACCACTCTGTTTGCAGATCGAAGTACAGGGTTGCTGGCTGACCTTTTCTGATCCTGACTTCCACAGCCAAGAAATCAAAATTTAAAATCTAGGTAGTTGCTGTGAAACCATACAAACAGAGGAGAGGAATCTCAGCAGGGGTGCTTCAAGCTGCAAGATGAGATATTTTGCAGAGAGGAAAAGCAGCCTTGCCCAGTGGCAGAAGTCATGTCTTGCCCCATGCTGAATAAAATGGCTGTGCTGTGAAGAGACAGCAAGGATGAGGGGCTGGGGAGGGACATCTGGGCAGGGTAGAAAACTTCAAGCGTGGCCCCTATGTGAGGAGCAGGTGACCTTCATGCCCAGTCTTTACTGACCTTGTCTCTTCCCATCTTTACAGCCCAGCCTTGATGTCCACATACACCCAGCTGCCAGCACTTCTGCCTTCAGCAGCCTTGTTGCTGAGGAGACCATTAAGGTGCTTGAAGAGCACGTGGCTAAAACGCTCTTTATCCCTGCAGTTACTTCAGTTGCTGATGTTGTCTCTAAGTAGACACCTCTTGCAAGCTTTCCTCAAACCCAGGAACACATCTAGCTGAGACTCTGAGTGAAGCTTTTAGTCTCGGCACACGTGATGTTGTCGACAGGTCTTCATGTTTTTTTCTTGCCTAGTGATGGGTTTTTTCTTAACAGCTCCTGACAGAGGGGAAAGGTGGGGGTGCTGCAGCCAGCCAGGAGCAATTGTCTTGCTGCTTCTGCCACACTGCTCTCACCATGGCAGAAGAGGCAATAAAAACCAAATGGCTATAGGAAGTTTTGCCACTGCTTTAGCAGTAACACCAGGTAAGAAAGAGAAAAGCACATCTGGTTTTCAGTGGAGAAAAAAAATGGATCACGTAGGAATTGTATTCTATGAATCATCACAGTCAGTTCTGCTTTCCTGCCTCAGGGCTTGAAACTGTGGGCTGCCCTGAGCCATATCATGTGTTTGGCACTGGATGGAGAAAAGTTTTAGGTTTCTTTGCATCAGCCAGTCATACCCAGAGCCTTAACTACCCTGTCATGCTCAGCAGCTGTATGCAGAATGAGAATTTGGTGCTGGGCAGGAAAGAAGCTGTTCCAGGGAAGGAGAAAACATGGCTTCCCACTGTGCTGGGAGCAGTTGACTGGCACTGCCTGGTTTTCTTTCTGCTTCTGGTGTAGACGCTTCAGCTTCTCCCACCAGCTTTTCTCTGTCTGTGCACCCTGTGCCACAGATTTGCCTGCACAACCCGTGAGGCTGGTGGCAATTCTCTGTGTCTCCCAGAGATGTCTGCTGCAGTAATGGAGAATAGAAACAACAGCAGAGGTTTCGCTCTGCTATTTTTTTGCCATTAGAATCAGTCCAAACTCCTCATTTTCTTTGTGCTACACCATCAAATGCATCCCCCAGATCCCTTCCTGGGCAATGATTAGTCCCCATCTCAGGGCCATGATATCAATTGGGGCTTTAGGCTTTGGTTCCCCCTCACCACTACCTGACCTCCAAATACATTCTATCTCCTCTCCTGATTCAGAGCATGGGATCTGCAGAATTCCCAGCCATTGAACCCAGCAACAACTTCCCTGGCTCTAAGGCTGCTGCTGTACTGTAAGATGCAGCCAAAACCAGCCAGACTGAGGATCTGCCTCAAGCAAGCAAACAGCTGAGGACCTGCTTGTGTCTCACAGAGGAGCCATAGCAGAAGCAGCAGCTCTGACAAGGCTCCCAGCAAAGCTGCATGGACGTTACTAAGCAAATGACCTTTCTCTGGAGCAGTCACTTCACCCACACAATCGAGTGCAAAGCACACACTGCAATGTCTGTGAACATCAAGAATTTGTTCAGCTCTTCAGCAGCCAAAATAATTAATCTCCAACAGCTAAACTCATTTACTTTCTCCCCCTTTGCCTTTCTAGCAGACTTCAAATCCAGCACAGCAATTATCTGTGCTGCTAAGGAAGCCCCATGAAGCATCTTTGGCAAACTTCTCACCCTTTCATGCACTTCCTTTTTTCACTCTGTGAGCAAAGGTCTCTTCCATCACAGAAAAAGATAGTTACAAAAAGATGCCTTCTTCATGCATTGTCCCTGGCCAGCCTGGGGAGCAGCCCTGAGCAGGCCAGGGCTCATGGGGTGACTAGGAGGAGGAATCAGCAAGTTTTGATTAGGAAGATAATAAAGGAGGTATGGCAAACAGCGTTCCTCTGGGATTTTTTTATGAAATCTCTCAGAGGGGAAGAGAGCACATGGAAGAATTAAAAAAATCACCTGGCAACTTGCTAGTACTGGTCATAGATTAGCAACCAGCAGCTAAACCCAAAAGCAAATAACAAGAATTTCCTTCCCAGGGCTGTCAGATTTACACACAGGGTCATAAACAGGATGAGTTTCTTGGCATTGGGTCTGGCACTTCCCAGTATGTCAGGCTCCTGTCACACGTGCCAGGGAGATGCCAGACATCAGAATCAGCACACAGTTAGCAAGACTAAGTTACTCCACAGAGAAGAGCTGATGCTTACCACTAGATGCAAAACCCTGACCTGCTCACACCTCTCCCATTTCATCTACCCTGTTCCAGATCTTGGAACAGCTGCACTCTACTGATGTGGCAAAACCAGTCCCTGCAGGGTTAAAGACAAGCTTGTCAGCCTGAATGATGAAAAGTAGGATAGAAAATAAGAGAAAAGAGTAATTAATTAAGGCAGGAAGCTGGGAGCAGAGACTGCAGAATGCCAATCAGTCTGGAGGGAAGGCTGCGTGGAAAGCAGCAATCAAACTCCTTCAGTTTTAATTAAACCCGTCTCTCTATCAAGGATGTGACATCTTTGTTTAACCTCTGCTTTAGAGCTGAGAAGCCAGTTGGAGCATGTAAACTGGTACTGGATAGACAGGAATTCCCTTCTGGCTCCAGAGCCTTCCCAACCCAGGCTCAGCACTTGCCCTTCCTGCTCATGTGCTCCCCAAAATTGGGGCTTAGCATCAAGCAGAACATAGTGAAGGGGCCCAGGGCTTGCAGCCACTTGTCATGCTAAATGCACCTTCTCTCCAAGATCTTCCCTGTCCTCTCTGTCCTGTTTCATTTAGGCTTCACCTCAATGTGCAGCAGTCAGTCTTGATCTGATCTGCCCCATTTGCAATCTGGGACCAGGAGGAACAGGATCAGGGGTGAGCAACAGCCCAGCTGCTTCTAGGCAAGAACAGGCAGTGTCCAGCTGTGCCACATCATTGCTCCTGATTGCTGTTCCCTTCTCCCTCCAACACTTTGGGCTGTGGAGTGATCTTCACCTGAAGAAATGATGCAACCATGTGGGCTGGCCACCAGCCATGGCACAATGTGCAGAGGGTGGCTGCAGAACTCACTGTTCCCAGGAAGGCACATTGGACACGTTTCTGAAAGAGATCCACCATGGAGGAGTGGCAGCCACCACAAAAGGAGAGAGGTGGAAAAATCAGAAACAGGGAGAGAGGCAAAGGAGGCTCAAAGTGCAGAAAGCAACATCAAGCACTTGAATGGAAAAAGAAAACTAATTCCCAGCACTGTTGGCCTTTCTCTTCAGTTAGCCTCCACACAGAAAAAGGGATGTCCTTGGAGCTGAGCTCTAGTGAGGTGAACAACAGCTTCAGTGAGCATAAGAAATACCATGTCAGCTGGGAATTACGAGTGGGCAGGACAAAGCAAAAAGGAAAGATTTACGCAAACAGAAGTAGGGAACAGAAAAAGAGAAATAAGGGGGAGATCATGGCTCTGCTCATGCACATCACAGCTCTGCCCCACTGTACAATGCCGACAGCACTGGATGAGGCCAAAACTCCTTTACTTTTGACACAACTTCCAGCACCATGCATGGGGACAAGTGAGGACACCAGAGGATTTTGTAGCCCACACAGGGCTCAGGACACCTATAAGTGCCATGACCACCTGTAATTGTTTCCCAGCTTCAGTGTGGAAGTCTGACTGTCCCACAATGTCACAGCTTTCCCCTTTCTCCTAAGCTTCCCAATTTTCACCTCCTCTTAAGAAATTACAGGTGCAGACCTGCCTCACATTAAGGGTTACATATTCAGGATCCACACAGCACTAATAAAACACCATACATAATTAAAGAAAAGGACAGCTGTTGCAGTCACTTAAAGTTTACTGTGAATATTGAGCTGGGATGATGGCAGGTCTCAGACATGACTACAGAATCATGGAGGAGATGTTTGAGGAGTTCTGGGGGACTTCAACTCGGACTTAGTAGGTCTGAATGTGTGAGCTCATCTCTTACTGCTAACATAAAACCATCTCAGCGGGGATAATGCGTGGGCATGATGGTCCTAGAATCCTAGAGGAAAGCAAAACCACTGTGATGTGGTCAGAAAATGTGATGCAAATAGCGACTTCCTTCTTGCATCTCTAGCCCTTTTCTAGGGCTTCTTCTTGGTCTTGTCCAGCAGTTTCTCTTAGAGGGGTCACATCTAGGGAATGGCCAGCTGTTGCCAAAATTTCCTCCTCCAGTAGCTCCTTCTGAACAGAGACCATGGCATCTTGTACCTGCTGAGTCCATGCTCTGGCACGACTGGCACCTTCATGGTCCCTCTTCCTGGTGCTCCCTTCTGGGGCTTGGGTAACCTCAGTGTTGCGTCCATAGAAATCTCCTGTCCTGTTGGCAAAACCTCCTTCCACATTGACCATATGGACTTTCCTTCCAACTCTCTTCTTCTTCTTTTTCCTGATCTTGTTCTGGAAGAAGAGGCAGGTGAAGGCCTGCTTGAAACGCTTGCGGAAATGCTTGGAGATGAGGGCATAGACAATGGGGTTGAGGCAGGAGTTGGTGTAGGAGAGGCAGTGGGAAGCCAGGCGGAAAGCGTAAGTGGCCCGGTTGAAGGGAAAGTGGCCAAACCAGAAGCAGAGGATGACCAGGTGGTGGGGCAGCCAGCAGAGGCAGAACAGGATGGCCACTGTGACAATCATCTTGGTGACTTTACGCTTGGCTTTCCGAGACTCTGAGATTCTTTCTATGGGGTCTACAGAAGTCCACAAGAACTTGATGGTCCTAGAGTATGCCAGGCTCACCACAGTCACAGGCAGCAGATACCCAAACACAAATGTGAGGATGTCCAGAACCTTTCTGCGCTGGTCCTCCCAGACGGGGACACAGATGGGCACACCATGGTAATGGATTATCTGGTAGTAACTGAGGTAAGGCCCTGCAAAGAGCATTGACAGTGACCAGACCACCACAATGGCCACTCCTGCATTTCGGGATGTGCGGAGATCCCGGGACTTCAGGGGATAGCGAATGGCCAAGTACCTGGCAAGGAGAGGAAGGAGAAGGAGAGACAAAGCACAACATGGGTGAGATGAGGTATTCCTCCTGTCCTGTGGAGCGGCCATCTGCATACCCCTTCCCATGCAGCCACCCATCTCTTCCCTCCCAAATCTTTTGGGAGGATCACAGTGAATTCACAAAACTATCAGGGTTATTCCAAGTGTGTGCCTGGGAGCTCTATCACCCACTCTGCTGTGCCAGCTCAGGAAGGGCAAGCAGTGTATCTTTTGAACCAGGTAAGAGAAGGATAGCAGCAGGACAGGACTCTCCTGTTCCTTCTGAGTTGTGTTGCTGCCCTGGGGTTTTGCTGTTCTTGCTTATGCATGGTGGACTCCCCTCCTTCCCAAGCGAGCACGGGGTAATTAGGCTGAGAGCTTGGCTTGTTAGAGGGGGAGGGCATGGGGAGCTGGGGAGACTGGCTCTGCTGGCCCTACCTCTGGGGAGACCCAACCTGCTTCTTACAGGACACCCAACAGGGTAAGTAGTGGCCTTTCTCCCACCCTTAGCTCAAGAGTGGCAAACACAGTGTCCCTGAGCTGCATAACTCAAAGGGAAGGGAACACTTACCTGTCAACAGAGACAGCAGCCAGGGTAAAGCTGCTGGCATACATGGTGAGGTAGATCAGGAAATGCACAGCCTTGCAGGCAAAGGCCCCAAAGAGCCACCCATCCAGGGTGTAAATGGTGGCCTGGAAAGGGACACAGCAGATGATGAAGCACAGGTCGGCCACAGCCAGGTTGAGGATGAAGAGGTTGGTGGTGGAGTACTTGACTTGGCCATTCCACAGCAGCACTGCCAGCACCAGCCCATTTCCCACCGTACCCACAAGGAAGATGAGGGAGAAAATGATGGGCACAATAATCCCTGCTGCTCGTAGCTCTGGGCTGTCAGAAGACATATTCAATCCCCCTGGCATCTTCCTGTCAGACTGCAGGGACCTGCATTGGGATAAAGGGATAATAGGCCACAAGGTGTCTGACCCCAGCCTTTGATACTCCCGTTTCTCCCAGAGATGCCAGTCCCAACCAGCTGGTTAAATGTGCCACCAAGACCCTTGTGACATCACTGGCAAGAATGCTGTTGTGATCAGTCAGCCCACATCTGCCTGGCTTGAGCAGAGCTGAAGCCTCTTTCTCCTGCCCAGATTCACATTGCCATCAGAACATCTGTGCTCCCAGCACCCGAAGGAGCCCTCCTGCCCTGCCACCTGGCCTCACCCACCTTCCTCCTACATTCCCAAATCTGCTAAACCCCTAGGATTGCTTGCTTTGGCAAGTCTAAACCCTGGCTAGTGCGCAACAGGGCCAGGGGGTAGGAGGCTCCCATGGGCTCTAAGTGGTGCCAGTACACTCAGCCCAGGGCTGTGCCACCTCCTGCAGCAGGGAATTGATGCCTGGATTACCCCACAGCAGCTGCACCCCAACACATTCCCACCCCAAAGGAACTCCTTAAGCTGGGACCCCTCCACCCCGGAGCTGGCTGCTCCTTTCTCCCTGTGCAGTAGCTACACTCCACGGAGGAAAGGCAACTAAATGCAGCTTTTCCTGATGCTGAGAAGTGATCAAGGGCTGGATGGTGGCAGGTAGGTGAGGATGGGGAGGAGACCCTGGAGCCACCTGAAATACAGCATGATGAGCCTGTTATTATCACAGCTCAAGGTGTTGTGATTTGCTGCAAAACTTCCTCCAGCCCTGAGTAACACTGTGCTCAGGCAGGGAACACCAACAGCCTATCTCTGAAAAAGCCTTCTCCTTGTTATGCTACCATTAGAACAAATTGTCCTTCTGTGAGCAAAAACAGAGAAGGAAAGACACTGTTGTCTAGCTACTGTTGACAAGCAATTAACTCGGTTTTGGGTCATGCAAGCTCCTTCGCTCCATGCTCCCCCATCCCTCAGCTCACGCCACTTCTGCTTCCCAGCTTCTTTGTGTACCACACCAAGAGAGTGTCCCTGCCTCTCTGTGTCTTTGGTCCCCTCTGTCCCACTGTAGCCACCCTCCCGCTTATCCATCTGGCCCCATGGGGGATGGATCTCCTCACTGAGGCAGAGGAGCCTGGTCTTCTCTGGGCATGCAAAATGCACCAGGGTGTCTCTGCTCAGGGAGCCTGAGGCCACCTTTCAGCTTTGGAAGCCGGTACTCACCTTTTTGAGGAAGGGCCTGCAGCTTTGCCACACGCTTAGGGAGAGACGTCCAGTGCAGCCCACGCAGCGGCAGCAGGAGGACGCAGACCACGGAGGAGTTTATCTGGGCAGCCCGGTTATCCCACTCGCTCCTCCTGGTGCTCCGCTGCCTCCCCCTGCCTGCCACCAGCTCTGCTCTCTCTTCTTCTGGAGCTCCTCTCCTTTCTCTCTGACTCCCCCTTTTCCCTCCCTCTGCTCTTGCTGCTGATCCATAGTTCTCTGTTGGTTTTTTTCCCTCTCCCTGAGGTTGGGTTTGGAGTTAACTCCTCTCTGCCCAGCTTTCCTGCAGGCTCAGCTGCTCCCAGCTCCTCCTGCTGAGAAGGGGGTGGCAGAAAGAAATCTCACCACTCTCTAGTGGAAAAGGGAGGATGGAGGGGGAAAGGGTCCCTTGGACCTCAGCAGCCACCTCTCAATGCTGGGTGTTCAAGATGTGTTTTTCAACACCTCCAGGGAACGTAAATATCCCACAACTGTGAGCCTCACCCCTGCCCTGTCACTCAATATAGGGTCATAAACCCTCTGGAGGATGAGCAATTAATTGCTCTCACTAGATTTTATTAATTCATTGTTAGTAGCACTGAGCAGATTGAGCCTCTCCCACAATGTCTGACCTAGGGAAGGAGGAGAAAGCCGGTTTTGGATTCCATCCAGTCCAGTCTCCACTCCATCAGTGGTACAGTATGGGAGGGAGGACAAAACCTCCAGGATGACCACCTCCAGAGGTCCAGCTTCATCACAGCTGCCTGGAGACACATGGGGGCTGGCTGAGGTGCCAGGAGAGGACAGTGACCCACGCCATGTCCATCCTGGTGACAGGACCTGCGCCCTGAGGACTTCCAGCTGCACTGCGTACAGCTTGGTGAGTCTTGCTGAGAAAGGACCAAAGGCCACCAGCTTCCCTTCATTGGGAATGTTGTGGGTATCTCTTCCAACGAAGGCGCAGGATGTGGAGAAGGAGGCACTGGCCCCTTCTCCCCCACGGCAGCCCAAATTATCCCCACTGGCTCAGTGGCAGGAGGAACCATGTGGTTTCTCCCCCCCACCTGCCCCTCTGGTGGGAAGGAGCGAGGTGTCCCCGCCAGCTCCCTATCAGCCGCTGTAACCAGGGAAAAGGGGAAGGCCATGCCTCGGGACGCGGTGATAACCCAGGGGATGCGGCAGAATGCAAGCCTGCAGCCGGGCACAGCCTGTCGCAGCGCTGCTCGCCATGGAGGGAGCACACCGCAGCTGCCTCCTCCTCCTCCTCTGCCTGCTCCCACGGCCGGGCGCCCCAGGCCCACCGCCGCCTCTGGAGGAGCCTCGGGAGCCGCCGCCGCCGCCGTCCAGCCCCGCGGACCCCGCCGCGCACCTGCTGCGCGGGCAGTCCTCGGCGCCGGTGCGGCCCTACAGCCTGTCGCTGTCCCCCGAGGATTACCGCTACGCCCCCAGGCCCCGGCACCTGCGCCCCGGACGGCTGCGCCGGCTCCTGGGCTCGGCCTTCGACCCCTTCTGGATGGCGACCGAGCAGCCCCGCGGTCGCAACGGGAGCATCCTCGAGGAGAACCTGGAGTCCATGAGCAGGGACCTGGCCGAGAGCGCCGGGCGGTATCGCCGCAAGCTGTGGCGAGAGGCGGAGGAGCTGGAGCTGCCCGCGCTGCTGCCCCCCGGCCCAGCGCTGCCCCCCGAGCTGGCGGGGGCCCTGGCCCGCGGCCTGCGGCAGTGGCTGGTGGAACGGGCCGCCTGCCGCCTCACCTCCGCCTGGGTGGACCTGGGCCCCGTGTTCTGGCCCCGCTGGGTGCGGCACACCACGTGCGAGAGCGGCCCGGCCGACTGCTCCTGGCCCCCCGGCATGGCCTGCCGGCCCGCACAGCTCACCCGCATCAAGCTGCTGGCCTGGCACTGCTGGAACCCGCAGCCCCCCGCGGCCCCCAGCTGCACCTGGCGGCACATCCCCTACCCCGTGGTGGCCGCCTGCAAGTGCTCCTGCCGCTGAGGGGGCCGCGGAGGTGCCTCCCGGGACCTGCTCCTGCAGGCCTGAAAAGGCAAACATCTGCCTGGACCCGCCCTCGGAGCTGGGGGGAATCCCCCAAACAGAAATAAACCTCCAGGAAGGAAGCGGGGATGCTGTGGTCGTTGCTGTGTCTCACCAAAACCCCTGGGTGGGGGTGCGGCTGCTTCACCCCTCACCCACCACTGCCGTGAGGCATTAGCACCAGCGGAGGCCCTTGTGCGGCTTTTATCTCCAGCAAAGGACGAGGGATGGAGAAATTATGGCACTGAACGGCAGGTTCAGACCCCGTTTGCACCACCCCAGCTGGCTCAGTCCAAGCTGGGGCTCCTCTGCCTGCCTGGATGGGGCTGCAGGCAGGGAGCCAGGGCCAGGGCATTCCAGCAGAAGGTACAGGTGGGTCACTGCTGGGGTGGAAACAGCAATGTGGAGAGAGGCTGGAAGGAATCATGGGGCAGTGGGGTATTTTGGGACTGCAACAGGCAGCCTAGTGAGAGTAGAAGTGGAAGGTGGGCCATGCCCCAGAGCTGGAAGCATTTCTGGGGCTAGGTGTGTATGAAAATGGGATGGGATAGGATAGGCCCCTACTTTGAGGTAAAATGGGTGAAATATGTGGATCCCCCACCTATCCCACAGTGCAGAGGCTGACAGCTCCAGACTCAGGACTGCCTGAGCAGCATACAGGGTATGAGGTAGTTCAGGGAACCCAGGGTGGGTCCTGCATCCTCAAAAAGTGACATCTGCCTCTACATTCCACTCAGCAAAACAATCCTCTGCTTTCTGAGCTAAAAGTTGTAGATCAGACCTAGGCTGGAAGGCCTTGAAGAAATAAGGAGCAGGAGGACATACCTGAATTCAACATTAACATGATGCCTCCAAGTCAATGAGTATGGCATTATTCATTACCAGAGTGCCATCATCTGACCCTCCTGCCTTCCTGGGATTCCAGCACTACACAGTCTGTTCCCCAGACAGCTCCCCAGCCTACTGCTGAGCTTGGCCTTGAGGCAGGCAGAGAGCAGGGAGCTGGCTGCTGAGGCACCCGGGAGATACAGAGGGGAGAGGGAGGTCAGCGCGTCTGGCGAGAAAAGGAGCAGAGGGTGAGCCCACACATGCATGCAAAAACAATGAGCATCACAGGAGGGAGGCTGCTCCTGCTGCTTCAGCCTGCAGATGAGCAGAGAGACATCTGTAGGCCTGCTCTGCCAACGAGGAGGACTTGAAACCTGGAGCAGGGTTAAACTGCTTGGGTTGTCTGCCCTGAGTGGAGCAGAGGCATCAGCAGGGATGCCTGCAGAGGGCCAGGGGAGAGAGGGAGACCAGGGCTGGGGACCAGCAGGACAGAAATGTGAGGGAGGGCGGTTCAGGTGTGCAATGGAGCTGGGCAGGTAGGGGGAGCAAGGGGTGCACATGCATTGGGCTCAAACCAGCAGTGATTCAGTTTAGGGTCTCAAACCTCCCTAAGCCCATCTGGCTGAACTTTCATCTCTTCCAGGTTGCACAAGAGGCCTGAAAGCAATCTCCCTGGCTTCCCCATGCCAAAACACTGCCTGTTGAAAAGGGTTTGCAAGCTGCAAGGGCTTGCTGCCACAGAAAGGGAACTCCATACCATAGTTTATCAGCAGGCTGAGCTCAGGGCCTGGGGGATGGAAAATTAAACAAAATCAACACACACACTACCAGCTGTTCTAAAAGGGTTTGGTTGTACTCCTGTCGAACCTACAAGACACACTTCTCCCCTGTCCTTTGCATCCTTGTAAAGCCCTACAATCCTGGATTGATACCTGAGTTCTTCTGCAGTTGCTCTGGCTCAGGTCAGACATTATTGCCCTGTAGTTTGCTCCCTGACAGCCCAGTGACACATAAGGACTTGAGAGCAGGTCTTTGCTGATATAACCCAGTGCTCCAGCACTCAGGCACAGAACACTCCATTTCAGCTAGAATCTGTCCTTGGCTGCAGCTATTCATTCAGCACATGGGCAGCTGGCAGGACACACAGTTTCTGATCTGGAACAAAACTGATGCAAAGTAATCCTTAAGAGATGCCCAGGTGCCACTTGTGTCTTTTTGAATGCTGAAATACTACAGCACAGCTTGGAGGAACAATTCCAGAGATTCCTGCCATATGGAGGAAAATTAAAAGTTCATGTCACCTGCTCTGCCCCTGGCCTTAGTTAGATGCAGATCCTCTCACCATGCTGCTGTGGCCTCTACCACCTCAGCTTGCCCACTGCCTGATGGCCTCTCTGGGGCAAGAATGTCTTTTCCAGGACAGGTTTGGGACCACTGAAGCAACTGGCAAAGCCTTGTAGCTGGGGGACCAAGCAAGCCTCATATCTAACACCTAAGAGTGAGAAGGAGAGAAAGGAGCACCGGAGCTTTGGTGGGCCCATGTCCTCTTCCCCTAACCAGCTGTTGGTGGCACAGGTTGCAAAGGGCTTGGGAAACACCCCTGCCTGCCTTAGTGGAGAACTGCAGCAGTCAGATCTGCCAGGGTGATGCTGCTGGACCCACAGGACAGCACAGAAGAAGCAGGCAACATCAGCAATGCTGTTATTTCCATCAGCAGGAGACAGCAGGAACTGCAGCGCTTCAGCATCGGGACTGAGGCTTCAGGGAAGGCATAGCAAGAGTCTGGTCACAGAGTGAGACGATGGGGATAGGGGGCAGCTCCTGGATGAGGAAATAGGAGGCAGACAAATATCTGCTGCACTGCAGGACACCTTTAATGACACTTTCACGTGCTGGTTGCCAGTGCTACTGCCAGCACACCACAGCAGCAGCTGGCTGACTCACGGTGCAGGCTGTGATGCCTTGAGGAACGGTCCTGCTTTTGGCAGTGTGCTGCTCAGGCCTTTTTCCCCATCAGAGGCACTTGGTTGTGGGCAGGGATGGTGCTGAAGAGGTGTTTCCTGGTTCTGGCCCCTCAGGGCAGCGCTCCGTGCTTCTGTCCCACCTGGGTGAAGGCTTCCACGCAGCGGTCAATGTCCTCGTCGCTGTGCACGGCCGAGATCTGCACCCGGATACGCGCCTTGCCCTTGGGCACCACGGGGTAGCTGAAGCCAATCACGTAAATGCCTGGGGAGGAAGCGCAGGCAGAGTCAGAGCTGGCTGGGAAGGAGGCAGGCTGAGGAGCACGGGGTGACAGAAAGGCTCCCCTCCCAGTGACCACTGCCAGCTGTCAGGCCTTTCACATGCCATCTGCTCCCAAGCATGGAAATGAGGTTAAGGGCCAGCAATGGGGGTGGAGTCCAGCATAGAGCATTAATGTAAATCCCCTTCCTAACAGAGAAAAAAGGTGCAGCCAGCAACATCTGGGGGAGACCATGAGGACATTTGCAGCTGGAAGGTGGAGGAGTACTGGATTTCACGCAGAAACATCCTCTGAAGGAGGGCACCACCACCAACAGCCCCTTTCCTCAGGGAATGTGTCTGCATACTGAGCTCCCTCCCCAGATCACCTCTGTTGAGCATGTCCTCTGCCATCACTGAGGCCAGCCGAGCATCCCCCAGCATGACTGGACAGATGGGGTGGTCTTTCCCTGAGATGGTGAAGCCAGCCGCCGTCATCTTACTTCTGAACCTGATGAAGGGAACAACAGGATGAGTAAAAATCTCAACAACCCTGTCCTTGGACACTCCTGCCTTTCTTTCCCTGGGAGCCCTGCCCACTGAGAACTGGGTAAGGTTTGCTCCACTCTTCATCTTCTGTGCAGAGAAGAGATCTCTCCTCTTGGAGTGACCTCCTACCGTGTCCTGCTCAGCATAATGGGACTGCAGAGCCTTGAGTGGACAATGTGCCCCCGCTCACAGAGCATCCAGATGTGACACATCTGCCTGACACAGGCAGGCACATCTTACAGCTTTCCCTGAGCCCTGATTTGCCAACTGTCTTCACAGTAATCACTGGGAAAGGAGGGGTGAATAAATCACAGACAGCTCACGCCTAACAAAGCTGCCCCTGCTCCCACCCCCACATGGCCCCCTCACCGTTGGGTTTTGGCAGCCATAGACTGTGCAATGGCATTGCTCTCCATGAGCAGGTCCAGGGCCTTGGATGCACAGCCCACCACGGCAGGGGGCAGGCTGTTGGAGAAGAGGTACGGGCGGGAGCGCTGGCGGAGCAGATCGATGAGGGGTTTGGGACCTGTTGTGTACCCACCTGCAGACAGAGGAGAGAGAAATGGACAAGGCACCCCAGGGTGACCTGTTTAGAGTGAGGCTTCTTGATAAAGCCAACCAGGCACCTATAGCAGGAATTTAGATACAAACCAGGTCTAAACATCACAGCTGATGCTTTTGACCAAGAGCTTCCACCTTGACACCAAAGGCAAATGCATGCAAAAGATGAAAGTGTAAGGGGCACATGGCAGGATCTCCCTTAATCCTGCAGCAACATCACAAACCAAGCCTTATGCCACCAGTGGAAAAGGATAATGTGCATTTGTTACTCTATCATTAGGCAGAGGAAGGAAATGTAAGACTGATGCTGTAGAGCATCAGGATGCTTTAGGGCATGCAGGATGTTGGACAAGAAAATATCTTCACCTGCAGCTCCTCCAAGAGCTTTTCCAAGGGTAGAATTGATGATGGTGACTTTGTCCATCACTCCCAGGAGCTCATCAGTACCCCTGTAGGAAAAGAAACATCACATTATCAGCTGTGCCAGCACACACCAGGGAAGCTGCTGGATACCTCAAGGAAAACAAAGCACTGCCAGCCAGGTCTCTGGCATCCCTCCTTCTAGACAAGGAGGAACAGCCCCTTGAATAGTTCAACCCAAGTGTTGACCTTCCTCTCCTGCAGAAAGCCTAACCTGGGACCTCATCAAGTAAGAGCATGGGTTCTTCATCCCTTAGAGATGGGAAAGTGCTCAAACTTCCCACACAGAAGTTTAATAATCCAAGCAAAGCACTTGCCAGGAGAGGTGGTGCCCAGATGAGATGGTCACACCATCTGTTACACACTGAGAAGCAGCTGTCACTTGGGGATAGATCACTGCTGAAGGATCTCCTTTCTATCCAAAGGTGAGGTGCAAAGCCTTCAAGGAGTCCCCACACAAAAACATGCTGGCCATCAGCACCTTGGTCCTTGCTTCAGAACTAGTCAGGGCAGGAGGAAGAACCAGGGCTGGGGCAGTCACTCACCGCCCGTTGGGTCCCAGGAACCCTGTGGCGTGGCATTCATCGATGAAGACCAGGGCATCGTACTTGTGCGCCAGCTGGCAGATCTCCCTCAGCGGCGCGATGTCACCGTCCATGGAGAAGGCTCCGTCAGTGGCCACCAGCCGCAGCCGATGCTTCTGTTGGAGGGAAAAAGGCATCCCCAGGAGTGAAGATGTCACCCTGAGGAGAGGGGTTGGCAAAGGGACACACTCACACTACTGTATGGAGAGGATGTACCTAACTGAGATGGAGGGGATTGGCATCACAACCAGCTGCTTTGCCACCTTGCCCATCCATGCCTGTTGGCAAAAACAATGCCTATGGCATGGGAAAGGGCAGAGCTCACCCCCAGGACTGGCTGCTGCACAGGCAGCACAGCTAAACAAGTGCCCTGGGCTGGGGTGGGAGCAGAACTCCATACCTGAGCTTCCTTCAGCTTGGCCTCCAGGTCCTGCATGTCCATGTGCTTGTAGCGGTACTTGTTGGCCTTGCACAGGCGGATCCCATCGATGATGGAAGCATGGTTCAGCTCATCTGACAGCACTGCATCCTCTGGGGTCAGCAGGGCCTGGCCGAGCCAAACAGAAAGGATCATCCTTTGCTCTGGATGTCACCTCACTGACATCTCCCAGCCTTCCTCAGTACAGAGAACAAGGCTGTGATTGATTCCAGTGGCCACGTCTCTCCTGACACTGCTAGACTTTATATTTCTCCCCTAGTCACCTTATCCATATTTCTTTATGCCAGGCTCTTGCTTGTGGCTTCTGAGCTCAAAATCTCCCTCCCCCTTTCCTAACATGTGAGATCACCCCTGCCCCTCACCTACACTTTCAGGGGGAGTACAGACCTCAGCAGAAATGGGAGCCCTCCCCAAGAGCTGGAGCCAGCAGAGGTGAGGGTGGTTAAATGCCTCTGCATGGCTTCCCTGGTGCAAGGGCCCCAAGGCAGGCTCCTCACCACCAGCCACTGCCATCCTTTCTGGTGCACAGAGCTCACAGCAGAGCCTCTGGAGGCATGGCAGCCACATTGCTGTCACCTCCCTCCTCCATGCACAACACAAGGGAAGCCTCATGAACCTCAAAGATACCAGCGTTGGCATCAAAGCAGCTGGCATAGAGAATGGCATCTTCCCGCTGGTGGAAACGTGCGATCTTCTCCTCCAGGTCCTTGTGTATGCTCTAAAGAGAAGAGAGGAGCAGGAGTCAACAGTGGGCCAGCACAAGTCCTTGCTTGCCCACTGCTGTTAAATGCTGACTTGAAAGGGGAGGACACAGACAGGTTTTATCCAGAAAAGGTGTGTGTGCGTGGGAGAAGATAATTGTGTTCAGCAAATGCAGCCCTAAAGTATAATTATGGGTTTGGATGCCAAAGCTCAGCAGGGAGACTCCAAGCTCCCCATGCACAAGGGAGAAGCTCTGCTTGTTCTTTGCACTTAACCAGGCAGCACTCAAAAAAGGCTCCAGCAGGGAGCTGATGGATCTGATCATCAACTGGGCTGATGGAGCCACTTCAAATCAGGTTCACTGTAATTTTGGCTCGAAAGAGAGAGAAAAAGACATTTATTTTCTGAATTCAGAGGGATGTTCAGTTTCTTTGCTCTCAGGTGTTGTAATGGTTTAAATTGGCGTATTTCCAGATGCTTGGCTAGTGGGGATTTTTGGCAGGCTCCTTTTCTCACGGGGCCATGTGTAAGTTAGCGCTGCGCACGCATGCCGAGAGGGGAGTCTACGTGGACACCCTGCGGAAGGCCCGCGGGGCAGGGGAAGGGATGCTGCCCGCTACCTGGGTACCGCAGATAAAGCGGACGGAGCTGAGCCCGGCGCCGAACTTCTCCAGGGCCTCCACAGCGGCACGGATCACCTCGGGATGGCTGGAGAGCCCCAGGTAGTTATTGGCGCAGAAGTTGATGATCCCTGCGGGAGCAGAAAGAGAAAGCAAGGCCATGGCACCGAGGGAAGGGACCGGGAGCCCCCTCCTCCCCTCCGCGCCCCCCGCACGCACCGGCGCCGCCGCCCGCCAGCTGGAGGTGGGGGCCCTGCCGGGAGGAGATGACGCGCTCGCTCTTCCAGGTGCCGGCGCCGCGGATCTCCTCCAGCTCGCTCTCCAGCCGCCGCCGCAGCTGCGCCGCCGCCGCTCCCGACGCGGCCCGGGGGGCGCCGGCCCCGGGGGCCCCGCGCAGCGCCCACACCGCCGCCGCCCGCCACATCCCGGCGCTCCGCCCCGCACGCCCGGGGGCGGGCCCCGCGCCCCACCGCTGCTAATTACCCACGGGTTAATTACTGACCAATACCCATTGGCCGCCGGGGCACCGCCCCTAGCGGGCGGGGCGAGCGCCGCCGGTGCTGCAGCGGCTCGGAGCGCTTGGGCGCCTTCTCTAGGAGGCGTTCGGCGTCTTCTTTGGAGGAGACGATCTGCCCCTAGGGGTTTAGGCACTGCAGAGCCAGATATGTGATGTCCGGAGTCTGACGGATTTTGGGACAACGCCATCCGTGAGATTTAGGAACTGTAATGAGGTCGCGTACTAGGGTCTGAGGGATTTCATACCAACAGGGCATCACGGACCTCAAGGATCAACAAGCCCAGGAGCATTAGGTGCCTCTGCCTAGGGATTTGGGGTCCTCAGCACAGCTGACTTGGATCCTTGCAGATAGGTGGTTTATATGTGCCCACCACTGGGGACAATGAGCCACGGGTCTGTGGTATGTGGGTGTATCCAGCTGAGGTGACCAACAATCCACTGGACAGAAAGGTTTAGGATTTACCAGTGAAAATTAGAATACCCAGACCCAAGGGATTTGAGCACCTCTGGCCAAATGTGTTTGTAAACTATAGGCTCAGTGACTTTAGACACAAAAGGTCATAGAATGATAGAATGGTTTGTGTTTGAAGGCACCTTAAAAATCATGTAGTTCAAAGCTCATGTCGTGGGCTGGGACACCTTCACTAGCCCAAGGTGGTCAGAGCCCCATCAAAACTCAGCCTGAGTATTTTTAGGGGTAGGGCATCCACAACTTCTCTGTTCTGTCTGGATTAGGCATCTCCTTCCTCTACTACAGCTGACTGGGGAATTCTGTGGCCAGACCACTTATTCCAGGGGACTAAGGTAACAAGTGCTTGAAAGGTGTTGAGGGTCTTCAGTCTAGGTGTTCTGGTAGCCTTTGATCCAAGGGTCTTAGGAGCAAGAACCCACAGGGATTAGGTGCATCCAGGCCAACGATTTCAGTATCCTGAAGTACTGAATTTGGAATCCTTAACGGCTAAAGGGCTCAGGCACCATTTGCCCAAGTGATTTAGGAAGAACAGGCTGAAGGATTTGGGAGCCATCAGGAGAGGGTGAAAACCCTGGGCTTATGAGAGTTAGGCACAGCAAGTCCAAGGGCCTGGGCACCCAGGGCACCCAGAGCCCCAGGGATTTTGGAGCTCCTGGCCCAGGTGGTTTGGGATCCTGATGATCAAGAAGTTTCTCTGTCTCTAGCCAAGAGGGATTAGGCAGCCCCTGCCTGAGACTTGCTGAACAGTAAGGCCAGCCCACAGGCTCCCTGCCAGCCCTGGCTGTCAGGATCACCAGCCCAGCCCAGGGAGGGGCTCTGGTAGGGGACAGGCAGGCCCTGGAGTCGTGCCAGCCCCCACTGGGCACAAAGCCAGAGCCCTCGGGTCACAGCAGGGCTGAGCCCAGCAGCTCTGCCTCACCCTGCCCTGGCTGCCCACCACATCCCACCTGCAGAGCTGTCCACTGCCTCAGGGTGCTCCTCCATGGGGAGCAAAGATGCTTACAGCTGTGTTTGTCCTTGCTCCCCACGGTGATCCCACTTCCCACTTCAAGGACACTTTCAACTCCTTGAAAGCCAACGTGGACAGACTCTGGCCCCGCTCCATCTCCTCTGTCCCTTCCCTGCCCCAAAAGTCTCTGCCACCCCCCAGCTGCACTGAGCAGCTCCACAGGCTGGCGGGCAGCCCGGTTATCTCCAGCGCCAGCTTGACCTCACTCCCAGGAGCCCAACATTCCTCACCTCATCCCCATGGTGGGGATCTGCAGCACTGGATGAGGGAACAGAGACCCCTTTTCCTCCTCTGGGGAAGGCCAGGGCTTTCGCAGCCATTTTTTCTGGCTTCCCCACCCTTGTCTTTGCCCGGCCCCAACAAACACATAACCCCCCAGGAGCTGCAGCAGGACCAGGAATTGAAATCCTGCACGACCCCAACAGGCACACAGAGTCACCATCACTTCCAACGTACAACAAGCAGTCCAGCCTTAATAAAACCAACAGACACACGCACAAGAAATTTCTGAGATAGCAGAATAAAAACCCAGACCAGTAACACTTTAAAATTGTTTTTTTTCATTCGTCAACTGCCTTGTTTCAGCTATTTCAATTCATGAATAGAGCAATTCTTTATAAAATGCAGGAGAAAGGCAACAGCTATTTACAGAACCAATGGGGAGAGTACCGAAACGCCTCTAGACTTCTCACTTCTTCTTGGGCGACTTGCGGGCACTGGACTTGGCTCTGGACTTCGACCGCCTTGCCTTCTTGGGCTTGGACGTCTTCAGGGTCTTGGCCTTAACAGTCTTTGACTTCTTGGCTTTCTTCGGGCTCCTTGACTTCTTCCTGGACTTCCTGGCGGCAGACTTGGGCTTCTTGGCCGGGGACCTGGCTTTCCTGGACCTAGACGGCTTGTGGGGCGAAGTGGATCTCCTGGCTGTCTTCTTCCTCTTCTTGGAAGGAGACCTCTTCCTGGAAGGAGACCTCTTCCTGGACGGAGACCTCTTCCTGGACGGAGACCTCTTCCGCTTGGCTAGGCGGAAAGAGCCGGAGGCACCAACTCCTTTGGTCTGCTTGAGGACTCCGGTGGCCAGCAGGCGCCGAATGGCCAGCCTGATCTGGACGTCGGCATTCTGGCCCACCTTGTAGTTGCTCTTCACGTACTTCTGGATGGACTGCCGGGACGCGCCGCCGCGGCTCTTGTCGGCCCGGATGGCCGCCTTGATCATGTCCGAGTACGCAGGGTGGGCTGCTGGCCTCCGGGCTGAGCGAGCCCGCTTGGGCTTGGTGGCCGGAGCCGGTGGCAGTGGGATCGGGCTGTCACTCATGGCGAGTGCTTCGTCCCGCGATGCCCCGCTAAGCCCACACGGCCTGGGACCCCCGCCCCGGGGCGGGGAGAGGCTGGAAGGTAGCGGTGGGTGCGCGAAGCCGCAGCAGAGCCGGTGCCGCTCTGCCCCCGCCGGTGCCCCCGCCGGTGCCTCTGCGGCCGCGCCCGCCGCGGGCTCCCTTTAAAGCCGCGGTGCGGACCGCGGGGAGGACTGCCCCGCGCGCGCCGCCCGTGTCCCCGCGTGTCCCCTGCCACGCCCTGACCCGAGCCACCGCAGGGACAGTGCGGGGACACGGTGCAGTAAACAACAGTATTTGGGGACCAGGAGGGACACTGGTGGGATCAGTGGGGGACAGAGATGAGCGAGGACTTGTAAGGGACATTTAGTGGGGCACTCAGGTACAAGGTGCATTTGGAAGGATATCGTGTAGGGACAAAGAAGGACACTGCAGGGACATTGGGGACACTGGTATGTCAGGGATATTCAGAGCAACATCAAGAGATGCAGAGGAACACTTAGGGCAGACACAGGGACATTTACAGGCAACACAAGGGATGTGCTGGAAAAATATCAGGGCACAAGGAAAGACACTATGGAACATATTAAGGGAGCAAGAAGGGACACTAGAGAAGACACTGGGAATGGCACCAAGGAGAAAACAGGGAGCACTGGGCACAAGTCAGCTCAGCAGCAATACCCCATGGCCAAGTGTCACTACTCCCTCTTCTGCCCCTTTGCTCTCCACCAGGTGCTTTAGGAACACCAGCTCAGCCCTTGCGTGTGGATGGTGAGGGGTCACAAATAACAGGCTGTCTCCTTGTTTTGGAAGACACACACAACTCCTAGTGTGGGGACAGAGCAGGGACATAGTGGCAATCAGCCAGACATCCTTTCCCTGCTGGGTGAGTGGTCGGCTGTTCCTGGGAGATTAAATACAGCACTATCTTCATCTTGCCTGTAGGATTTAGATGATGTTTTCCCCTTATTTTTTAAAAACATGTGGGTGCAGTCACCTGGTGCCCACCAATATGCCATGCTAAGCTCAGAGTTGAGCCAAACCTCCCAGTGCTTCAGTTTAGCATTAAAATACACAGTGAGCACCTCTCAACAGCCTCTGAGTGCCCTGGGTGTCCAGGTCCATGAAAACCACCAGCCAGGGACACACAGAAGTGTGCATCAATAAAACATCAATACATACATATATATATATATACAAATATAAATACAGAAATTCAAATAATAGAAATAGTAGAAATTGAGATAATAGAAATAGAACAATAGAATCATAGGATTGTTTGGGTTGGAAGGGACCTTAAAGATCATCCAGTTCCAATTTCCCCGCCATGGGCAAGGACACCTTCCACTTGACCAAGTTGCCCAGAGCCCCATCAAACCTGGCCTTAAACACTTCCAGGCATTCACAACTTCTCTGGGCAACCTGTTGCAGTGCCTCATCGCACTCACAGTAAAGAATTTCTTCCTAATATCTAATCTAAACTTGCCCCTTTTCTTGAGCTTTGAGCCATTTCCCCTTGTCCCATCACTACATTTAAACAGAAATAGGAATCTCTGATGTGAAGACCTGGCCTGGCAGAAGACACTCAGGCCCCTGATGCTTTCCCACAGATGGAAGGACCAAGTGCATCTCCTTGAGCCTTCCTCCCTGACAGAGTTTCTTCACATGCTGTATTCCATGTGGGGAGTGGGAAAGGTTCTCAGCACCTACAAACTTTTTGATTTAATTACTAGCAAACTGCTCCTAATTGTGGAGAGGAATAACCACCCTCCTGCCTCCCTTGGGGTTTGGTTTTGTTTAGGATGCAATAAATAACTGGCTTTCCATCCCATATGGAGCGCAGGATCTCTGGTGGCCTCTGTGCAACACTTTGACCGTCCGAGGGACCTCTCATTTTTCCTATCTGGGAATGAGCTCTGGGCGCTGGCTGCTGCACGTAGGCAAACCCAGGCACGCAGATAAGGCACATCTGGTTCTATTTGCATCCAAGTTTGCAACCGTCGCGCGTGGCTCGCCCGCGCCAGGCTCTGAGGGGACACCAGGAGGCTTAGGGGGGGTTAGGAGCTGGCCCCAGGGTTGGCACAGCACCACGGGCTGCCTGCAGAGCCTCCAGCCCTAAAAGCCAGGCAGCAATTATCAATCCAGTGCAGGGATGGGGAGGGACAGGGCAGATGCTTTCCCTAACTTTGGCACCTTAGGGGTCTAATCTCACTGGCTCACCTGGGCAGCTCCTGCTGCTGATCCGGGCCGCTTGTCCTCCTCCGGCGGGTGCCGCTGCTGACAAACAAACATGCTCTCCCCTGTGCAGGGAGCTTCTGGCTCTTTCATACTCTCTAGATCCCTATTTTCAGTCAGTCAAACTAAGGGGAAGATCCCGTGCCCCCAGGCAACTCACTGGAGGGAAGGCACTCAGGGGCTCACAGCTCATCAGGCTGCTGCTGGCTTTGCACACGGGGATAACCTGGTCAGGGCAAACCCCCAAGCACTCCAGTTGATACTGGAATGCACCCCTTGAACTTTGCACCGTTTTCACAATGCATCTTTAACACGAACTGGTCAGGACTGAGAGGATGAGAGGGTTTTCCAGCCCCTGGCAGGATGTCAGGCCTGGAGGTTGAAGGCAGATGCCAAGCAGTGCAAGCCCTGATGCCTCTGGGAAGTGGGTACAGTGCTTTTGGCACCCCACTGCAGGCAGCACAGGGGACTCATCCAGAAGGAAGAGTTTTTCCCATAGGCACACATGCCACCAAGGCCATCTTGAGTTCATGCCTGTATTTTTGGCCACAGGAACCTTCCACCATGCCCAGAATGGGGTGGGTTACCCCCTGCATCCTCTTTTCTCCTCAGGAGTTGCTACCCAACCACTCCAAACCTCCCAAGCCTTCCCTTTCTGGCATTATTCTGCAAAAACTGGGAAATCCCACATCTCCAACAAATCCCAGAGGACAGAGCCTGGCAGAAGAATCCTCTCTGTAATCCTGTTTACCTTCTCCTCCCTGCCTACACTGAGTTCAACCAGACCCCATGGGAATTTACACATTTCCAGCTGCAGATTTCGTCTTAAATGGTCAAATCGTGTCCACTGTGGCTGTGCTACAGATCCATGGGGTAATAGCCCCTGCCTTGTAGGGGCAGGACAGCTGTTCATAGGCTTTTGGGAGCACCAGGGCTTCTGGCAATTAATGTCAGAGATAACATTTCATTTTACCCAGTTTCCATTTCAGAGAGACTCAAAATCCCCAGCAGTGGGACTTGGTCTTGGTGGTACTCGGATCCAAGTACTTCTGTGCTTTTTTAAGAGCAAAACAGGGAATCTAGCGGAAGTTCCAGCTGTGCTCATAAGAGCTCCAGCTCTGAGCCCCCAGTGTGCAATGTAGTGTGGCCAGCCCAGCATGAAGCCACTCAGCCTGGCCATTGCTAGGGGCAGAGTGGGCTTGAAGGACACAAATAAATGGCAAAGGAGCATCACCCCTGCCTGCTGGACTGATTACTATTTTAAAAGATTTATGGGCTGCTTTTTAAGGCCAAGCTCCTTATGTGAGCTGGGGTGCTGGCTCCCATGCCACCACAGTGCTGTTCAGCTGTGGGTTTCCCTGTGCTCGAGGCTGGGATGCTCCTCCCAGCCACAGCCCGGCTGCAGGCAAACGGAAGGGGCACAGCCATCACTTTGGGATGTTTTTGGGCTTTGCCAGCCATCATGCCCATCACCCACGGGCATGTTGGTCATCTCCTCTTCTGGCCACTCTTCCCGTGCCAGGTCCCCTGCTCCCAGGAGATAAGGCTGTGGAGACGCCGGGTGAGCGTATCGCCCCGACGCAGGCGACACAGGCTCTGCCCGATTAGCGCCGCGCCAATTTCGGAGGCGCATCCCCCGTGGCCCCGGGATGAGGGGCTGGCTCTGCCCTGCTGGGGCTGATCTGCAGCCACAGAGCCTCAAGGAGGGGCAGCTCCACCACATGTCAGGGGCACGCACATTTCGCCTGTGCTTGCGCCACGCGCTTATCGGGCCGAGCAGCCCTCGTCTGAAAGCAGAAAAAAACAACACAACACCCCAACAAACCAACCCAAACACAAGATACCAAACTCTTCGGGGAAGAGAGGGGTCAGCAGGCTGCTGAGCACTGTGCAAAGAGCAGTGTGTAGTTCACCCCTTGCTTACCCTCTGCTCGCCCCCACTCCCCACTTTTGGGAGTTTCCTCCCCCAGGAGTAGGTACAACTACGCAGACTGTTGTTTGAGTGGTTATTTTTTCTAAAAAACACACTGTGTCCTGAACCCTTTTTTCTCCTCCTCTTTTGGCTCCTATAAATCCCCATGGCAAGACCAAGCTCTGCAGCCTGAAAACAGCTGCCCTGAGCTGTTCTTTCACCTCTTGCCATCCCATGGACAAATCCCCCAAATGCTCGCCCCTTTCCAAACTCGATGACAATGGCCATGTCCTGCTGGGAGGCAGAGGGAAAAGTCTGGACCGTGGGCAGCACAGGGACAGAAGGGTTTCTAGGCCAGAGGCAGGAAGCCAAAAACCATCAACAGCAAGCCCTGGTGCTTGACAGGCGTAGTAGGGAGCTGAGCTCATTGCTTGGACTCTTGCACCATCCCCTGGGTTGCCCAAGGGCCTTGTGCACGTGACTAAAATCTGCAACCTATTTTTACCAGAATTTGTGACTAACAAAGTTATCTGCCTTTCCTAGGGAAAGTAGTCCCTGTAGCCCTCCCCAAGGGAAGGGCAGGCCTGCACCCTCTTGTCCTAGGAGATGCCAAGACCATGGCAAAAGAGCAAAAGAGTGCCACCCTAATACCCCTCATTTCAGCTGCCACTGCATTCTTACACCCTGCTTCCATCCCCAGGTCTCACAGTGCTCCAGTCTCTCAGCCAACACATCAAGGTCACCTCCATCCAAGAATCCTTCCTGACCCCTTTTGTCTTTCCTTCTTCAGATGCTGCCTCCAGCCCCAGCATGTGACCACAATTAGATCTCTTTGTAGAACGACAGCTCCTATTTATATTGGGATGGGGTTGAATAAGTAGTAGGTCCTCCATCCTGACATAAAAGCAACATGCTTCACACAAAAAACAGGAGGAGGAGGAAAGCATTTATGATCTCTGTCATCTCTCCAGGATCTCTATATATGGTTTACTCTGCCAGCAATTGCAGTGCCACGTACCCTTCCAATGCTGGATTTACTAATGCAGCCCAGGCTTAGCTCTTACTCCATGAGGCTCAGGGTCCATGTGGAATTTTGGGAGCAGTGCAGTGAAGCACATTATTTTCTCCCTCAAACCCAAAAGTGGGGCAAACTGCTGGATAACAGCACTGCAAGGCTCCTCTCACTCTCTGGCCAGGGGTGCTCCTGTTGCTTTCCCTCACCAAATCCTGAAGAAAGGAAGCAACTGGTCACTATACACTAAAACCTCAAAGAAAATTACACACACACACACACACACACACACACACACACACACACAGCCCTCACCACTGGATTAGGGCCACATGGCAAGACTTCTTCTCAAGGAACACATTTTTCTCAGTGAAAGGGGAAGATTTTATTAAGTTAAAAGTTGAAGGGCACAGCAGAGCAGCAGCAGCTGTCACCCTGGGGAGGTTGGCTCGGGTGGGTGCAGTAGCAGCCTCACAGCTCCTCTTCCCCAGAAAGGAGAAGCCCCGCGGCTCTGGGCTCCTGCCAATGCAGGTTCTTGCAGGAGCCAAAAGGGCAGCCACGGAGAGAGAGCTCGGTCATGTGGACTCTTGCCAAGGTGTCCTCTTTCAGCCGCCTCGGGCAAGCACACCGACGGCAGACAGCCCCAGCGGCTCTCCCTATGGCTTGCGTGTCTTCTCCGCAGGTCCCGGGGCTGGCACGGGGAGGGGGAGCACGGTCCTTGCCCTGCATCCCACGGGGACCGTGGAGACATTTGGAAGAGAGGGAATATGTGCCAAAGGTGGCTGTGTGTGGCCAGGGGAAATGGAGCTAGGAAAGGGGGAAAAAACCAGGCTCTCTTTTTCAGGTTAGAAAAATGCCGGTGATGTAGTAAAAGTTTTCCTCCTCCTCTTCCCCTCCTTTCCATGGGGAAAAAAAATTCCTCTATAAAATATAATTTTCACATATAAAATCCTGAGGAAGGTGCATGTAAGGAGCCAGTCCAAACAACGTGCTCAGGTATGCAGGCAAAAAGGGTTCATCAAAAAAGCTTTGGGAGGGGAGTGAGGAGGTTGGGGGTGTGTAGGACTCCTTGCCAAGGTGGCAACGGATAAGGATTCAACCTCCCTCTCCCCACGAGTGAGGAATGGAGCAAATACAAAACAAGAACAGATAACGAATGTAGAGCAGACCTAGAGAGAGACAAAAGCAGACATGGTTAAGAAAGAGTCCAGTGAGTGCAGACATGCCCTCCCCTCAGCTCCCTGGGGAGGTGGCTGTCTGCTGCCCTGCTGCACCCCCACTCACCTCCACACCCATCAGCAAGCGCTGGTGGAGCAGGGTGAGCCCAGTACAAGCAGGAAGCAGAAGCACTCTGGACAACAGGATGCCCTCATTCCTGTCCCCCTGCTCCCCCCACCTGTAGCAGAGATGCCTGCAGGTGAGTTTGGGAGAAGGGCTGGGTCTAGTCAGGCCTGCTTTGATGCAGAGCTAAAACTATCGTGCTGCGATAGGGAAACCACTTCAAAGGTGAAGGGAGCAGAAACATTGCCTGCACAGGCAATGTGTAACCACCCACGCTGTCACCCAAGCCACGGGGCGAAGGCCAGCATTGGCCTGGCTCCCACAGCTGCCTGGCTGAGGAGTGATTGGTGCTGGCTGCATCAAGAGCACCATGAAAAGGGCACTGGAGCCCTCGGGAGAATGTCAGGGACACCAGGAGGGCCAGCAGTGCAGGCCAAGAGGATGCGAGAAGCAGAGAAGGATGAGTTTAAGCCTAAAGTTTCAAAACTGAGTGGAGCAGGAGAAACTAGCAGGAGAAACTGGCAGCTTCCACGGCACTGCAGCAGCCAGTATCAGCCACCTGCCCCCAGAGGGTGCCCAGGCTCACCGTTACTTGCTGTTGCACAGCGACTCCTTCTCCTGCAGAGCTGCCATGGCCAGGCGCAGGTGCTCCTTCAGCTGCTCGATCTCGCGCTCCGAGCGCACCTTAATGTGATTCAGCTCTGCATACACGTCTTGGTATTTCCCTGAGGCAAATCTCTTGTCCTGCCAGGGAAGGGAGAGGGGTCAGGCAGGTTGCAGGGCTGATTTTAGGGAGGGTGGCAGCAAGGTGAGCCCAGTAGAAAAGAGCCAGCAGGTGAGGAGGGGAGAGCTAGCTCTAGGTTTGAAGCCCATCCCAATTTGGGCCAGGCAAAAACCATTCAGAAGAGGAGCATGGAGGTACCACTTTGCAAACACCAGGCCAGGGAAGAACGCAGAGACACTGGTCCCACAGCAGCAGGGATGTACAGCACCAGGTTGAGGAGGTAATGTGGGCTTTAACACGGCTTGTGTGCATGTGGGGCAGCCACATGGGAAACACAGCCCTGCCAGGAATGCAGGCCACTGAGGTGGGAGCAGCTCCTTATATGGCCAAAAACTTATGTGAGTAAGTTATAAACTCCTGGAGCATCACTGAAGTCCAAAGCCTCTTTCAGGTTCCCCTCTGGCAGGAGCCTTTGAAAATTCCTCTGAAAGAGCTCTGCCAGTGGAGGGAGCAGCACACCCAGAAACAGTGCCCAAGGAAACCCATTCACTCAGAGAGGGAACAACTAGGGGAAGCAGAATGCCAGGCAGCCTTCATCCAGGTTTCCCACTTGCAGAAGGCAACCCCCTGTCTTGTCCATGCTCATGTGTGCACACACCTGGGAAAACCAGCAGCTCTGTGACTCCTCCCTTGTACAAGGTCAGCCTATGCCAGTCTGTGCTGTTGGAGCTGCTCTGTGCTCTGCAGTCAGCAAGGACAAGCAGCACAGGCAACAGGAGTTTGTCTCGAGCATCCCATCAAACCCAGCCAGAGCCTGCTGATATGCAGCCCGGCTGCTTCCCTGCCTTCCCTCTCCTGCTCTTTCCCAATTGCTCCCAGAAAACACCGACCTTCTGCATCATCTGCAGCTCCTCCCGGAGGCACTGCACCTCCTTCTTGACGTACTGGAGCTCATTCTCCTTCACCCGCAGCAGCACCTGGGCAGAGAGGGGGGTAGGGAACCAGAGGTGACTCAAGAGCCACCGCCTCGGAAAGGCCGGCAGGCCGCGGCGCAAGCGCAGCAGTGGGAGAGGAAGGAAGGGCCAGAAGGGCTGGGGCAGGAAACGGCGCAAGCAGCCGGAGAGAGCAGCGGAGGGGAGCCCCACGTTCTGCTTCCTGCACCGCTCCATCCGTCACCCCCTCCTGCTTGCTCCAAGCCAAAGCCATCAAGAGGAGAAGAGCCCCGGGACAGGCGGGGATGGAGGCAGGGGGCAGCCAGGGGATCCCGCACCTCCAGCTCGCAGGAGCTGCGCTCGTTGTTGTGCGAGGCGCGGTCCCCAGAGCCCCGCGATGAAATAAAGCTTCGCAGCTTCCCGATCTCATCCGAGAGGCGCGTCTGCAGCTCCTGCAGGCAAAGCCAAAAGACGTCAGAGCAGCCATGGCACAGAGCTCTTGCTTTCCTAAACATTCCATCCCCATGGCAGCCCTTGGTCAGCCTGGAGACCATGTTGTGACCATAAGCACTGACAGCATCTACATCCAGCAGAGTACACTCGCCATATTTAATGCCACAGTTAAGATGGCCTCTAACTCTTAATCCTTTTATTTATGATGATAAAATCTCAGAAGGGAAGAAATATGAACAAATAGGGGAGTTTTAACAGAGGGGCTGTGTTGTGTGAAGGAGGAACATCTCCAATGCTCCTCTCTGCTGGCAGGAAAGCCCTTCTCTTGCCTGATTTTTCTGGAGGAGGTCCTTCCCCTCCCGCTGACAGCGCTCCAATATCTGCTCCCGCTCTTCTGCCTTCTGGGTGAGCTCCCCGATTTCCAGGCACTTTTGGGAATACTGCTCAGAAAGCACCTGCAGTTCCCGCTTCAGTGACTCCATGTCCAACCTGCCAAAGAGGCATCAGCTCATTGCTGCCCCAAACCCCTTGCCAGCTCCTGGCCCCTGGCACTGCCTTCCCCCCCCCCGCCACGGCCAGCCTCTGCCCACATCAGTCATTAGTCATTCACAAGACAATGTTCCCTGTGAACCTGAGCTTCAATTCCCACACTCCTGCACATGAGCTCCAAGCCATGCAGAAGAAATGGAGGAGCTTTCCATAAAGAAAATAGAGGGGAAATAACTATAGGTATGAGGGAGGTGCTATAGGGAAAAGAGCCAAGCAGGGGACAAACTTCCCTTCCCTACAGCTGCAGCCACTACCAGGCACCCACTAGCCCTTAGGAAGGAGCTGGGGAAGTGGCAGGAGGAAAAGCTCAGGACTAGAGCTGCAGATGAAGCGTGGTGACAGCGGCATGAGGCAGCATCATTGGCCAAGGGGAGTGAGAGAGATGCTTTCTTACTGGTGCTGCTTCTGGAGGGCTTCTGGGAGCGAGCTGCATTGCTGGAAGCTCCGTGTCCTGCCCAGCTCCTTATTCATCTCCTCCCGGTGGGCTTTCTTCAGTGCCTCAATGGCTGCAGAGGGGGACAGTGAGAAATGGGGGATCAGGCTGTGCCAGCTTCATGGAAAACACACCAGAGAACTGGCTAAGCTCTCTCCACTGCAGGTTCCCAGATCCATCTCTGCAGATTCCTCCTCTTCCCTTCTTCCCTCAGGCTATTCCTCACCATCTCCACACTCCAGGATAATCATGCTGCCAAGAGGACTAACACAGGGCACTCTGGGAGCTCTCTACTACTTCTGCCTTGCCCATCTACAATAAAGTGCTGGTCCCCTCCCACCCATCCAGAGGCATGACCCCATCTCCTTCAGGTTCTTTACCACCCCATCTCCACCAGTGCCACAGGAGCGAGAAGCACCAGAGCTCGTGTTCCAAGGAGCGCCAGCCTCACTCCACTACTCTGGAGCAGTGTGGCTCCAGATGACTGGGATGTCTGGCTTCTAGCACGAGGCATTTGGGGAGAGGCAGGAGGCACCCAGCTGAGCAGAGGACAGCTTGGTATCTGCTCCTACCTGCTGCTGTTGCTGCTGCCTCCTCTGCCAGGAGCCGCTCTTTCTCCTGCCGCAGCCGCTCCAGCTCCCGCTGGTGGTGCCTCTGCAGCTCCTCCATCACTTGCTGGTGGGATGACTCCATCTCAGCCAGGCTGCGCTCACAGGCCTCCTGGTGTGAGGAGGAAAGGAGGTGAGAGAGACCAGGAGAGAAGGAGGAAGGGCTTGGGCAAGGACAGGCACCTGGCTGCAAGTCCAGGGACATTCTGAAAGAAGTGAGACTACTTCCCAGGAGGGTCTCTTCCTTCTGAAAATGAGGTGGCACTTTAATCATGAACACAACCATTTTACAGGGACACACATCTTGCAACACCCCTTTGTGCTTTATAGAGGAAGAATGTTCCTCTAGCTCTTAAAACTAATGCAGCAAGAGAGCAACATCCCTCTTGGTCCAGGAGCTGGGTATAACATGCCCAACACCACAGTCCCAACCCTACACAGGACTGCACTGCCTGGCTGGAAGAGATCAACAGTGGGAACTGCATCTCAGTATCTGCCTTTTAAATGAAGCACATCCCCTGGAATCAATGAAAATCGAGCCTCCTCTCCTGAAAAGTGACACCCTGCACTACCGTGTGACATGATGGAGGCTGCCAAAGAGCACTCCCCACAGCCCAGTTGTTAGGGATCCTCCTCACACAGCTCTCCCTCCTTTCTGATGGCTCTGAGACCAAGGGGATGGTCCTTTCTATGCTGAGTGCTATGATTAACTCGGGTTAGAGCAAAGCAAAGGGGTTCCCACCTTGGCACTATGCCTTCCCCCCCCCTCTAGATTTTGGCAGTGTCTCCCTGAGCCTGTCAGGAAGGGTTTGTTCACTAACAAACTGCGCCATGATGATTAATAGCCTGGGCCTCAAGGACATCAGCAGAGAGCTAAGACATCATCACATCCCCCAACAACTCCTTGCCATCCCATTCCTTCCCCACTGAGGACTAAGGCTCACACAAAAGACACTGGAACGTGTTGTGTGAATGCAAACCCTTCCTGGCTACTCCTTTCTACTGTGATGAGGGAAGCTAGGAAGCTTCACAGAAAAGGTGAGGAATCAATTTGGTGATCCATGCAGGGACCAGCTGCAACCCTTGGCAGACAGAGAGAGTGAATGCTTTAGGGAAAGGCCAAGTTTGGCCTCAGATGTGAAATGCTGGCGTTTTGAGCCAAGTTATTAGGAAGATAAGGAAATTCCTCCCCACTGGTTTTGCTCTTTTTTTTGACCATAAAGAGGCCTGTAAGCTGTAAATATTAAATCATGATAACAAAGAGACTGGTAAGGGCTGTCTGGCCTGGGTGCTACAAGGCTTCTGGGTTTCTTTATCTCTGCTGGGTACAGCCAACCCTGTGGAATAGACTTCACCAGCCCCAATTTCCTGCCCTGCCAATCCCCTCTGCCCCGGTATCTTCCAACACATAAGGCCCATCCTGAAAATCCCACTCTACGGTCAAACAGCAGCCTCCACACAGGAAATCCCTGTGGGATGTGACCCTGCTTGCTTTGGATCAGCCCATGAGAGGGGAAAATAAACAAACAAAGAGAAGTGAGAGGATGAAGCATGAGCAAATTCTGCTTTGCTGGCTCTCCCACGTGCTACCCCAGCAAACGAATGGGCTGTGCTGTCAAAGTGACCTTCAGGGCTCAGGCTGTCCCCAGGGACTGACTGAACTGACTGCTTTTAATGAGACACGTGGGAGCCCCAGTTAGCAAGAACCACATGTGGTGAGCACCAGCCACCAGAGGCTCATCAGGAAGCTGCTGACCCACTCCTGAGCTGGGGGATGGCTCACCCCCACGGCCCAGGACAGCACTGTGCTCACATGCAAAGAGGGACGCAGATCCTGCACCTCTCCCCAAATTATCCTTCTCCCCCTTTATAACCCTGGCCCCTTTAAGGCCAGGCAACATGCACCAGCCTTTATGTAATTAACATTGATTACAAATGGGCCCAGTTAGGGTCACCATGGCAACCCAATGATTAGCGATACCTGCTCAGCAGTAAGCTGTGTGCCAGAATTTCCCAGTTTGGTACTGGGAGTGACCCCCAAGCCCCGGGTCTGGCACTCTGCTCACCTGTGAGATGTACCCTCGGGGCACTTGGCTGTCCCCCTGGGATTTTGCTGCCTCCCGAAGGCTCTCGTTTCTGGCCCGGCACGACTCCAGCTGTGCCCGCAGTGACTGGATCTGTGCCAGGGAGGACAGAGAAAGATGCTCAGCCAAGGGTGGAGAAGTGCCACGGCCTGATCAATGTGCCACATCCAAAACCTGGGCTTAGGGATGGAGAGGACAACACATAGTCAGTGGAGGCCTCTGCTTCCCCAGCAGCCTGCCAAGAGACCACACTGGCAAAGCCAGCCCCAGCCTGGTTAGTGCCGGTAAGGAAGGGAGGAGACATCCCAGCTTTCAGAGGTGGATCCATGCTGGAGAATACCACCACAGCAGGGCTCCTTTCAAAGCAGGTGAAGAGCTTGAAGGCTTGGGAATAGCCAGAGAAGAAAGGCTGTGAATGTACTCCTAGGAAGCACAGATTCCACACAAGTAGTGCCACCAAATAAATTATCCTGGACTAAAACATGCTCTAGGTGTCCTGAGAGCAGGCCTCTAGCCTTGCATTACCAGGTTCCAAAAGCTTCCACGCACTCAAGGAGCCAGAAAGAACTGACATCTCTTGCACCTCTGCAGGAGGCTCTTCTGCAGAGCCTCCTGTAGCCAAGTACCACATTAGGGGCCACCAGAACCCCAGAGATTTCAGAGAGGAGGGATGCTCTTACCTCCTTTTTCAGCGCCTCATTGGTGTCTCCCTGGCCCTCCTTGCTCTGGTTCAGCAGTGTTGTCAAGGGCACTCGCCGCAAGTCCTTCAAGGGCAGGTGCTCCAGCTCCAGCCACTTCTTCTCTATCTCCTCGTTCAGACGGATGCGTTGTTCCTCCGAAAGTGGGGGGGTGGGGAGGTCCTGCTCCCCAGCCCTGCGGGCAGGGTCTCCTGCCGGGCCATCGCTGTTGGGGACCCTGCCATCAGGGCTCTCAAACCATCTCCTCCTCTCCTCCGATCGGATGGCCAGATCCCGCTCCAGCTCCTCATACCTGGGAGCTCGCTCGGAGACCTTCAGGCTCCCTTTCGTCCTCTGCAGGGACCCCTGACTTCCAGGCTCTTGTGGCAAGGGAGACAGCTCCACATAGTCAAAGGCATGGCGCTGCCCATCCGCCTTCCAGGGACTGCCCTTGGAGTTCCCCTCGGAGCCCGAGCCCGGCCGCTGCTGCTCCTCCGTCCGGAGTGAGCCTTTCTGGGGAACGCAGTTACGGAAGTTCTCCTTGTCATAGTCAGGGAGCCTGGAAGCAGAGCAGGAACTGGTGAAGGAGAGGCACCGTGTGGGAAAGGATGCCAGCAGAGGCACTGCCAACTGCTCAAGGCTCAGACCATCACTCAGCCCATCCTTACAAAACCCCACCCCAAGTGCAGAGCTGGGCCTGTAGCATCCCATCCCCCAGGAAAATGGATTTCTCCACCAGGCAGCAAAGATCCACCCTGGTTCCAGCTAGGCTGGTGGAGACATCAATCTAAACTTATGTGATGAGGCAAAAAGCAGGTACAAGAAAGGGAGCCCTCAGGTTCTCAACCCCTGTCACTGGCTGGTGTAACCAAACCACTTCCAGAAGGAGCAGAGGGCAGGGCTGCTCTGGTAGCAGTGGCATTTCCAAAGGGGCCTTCCTTGCCCCTGCCAGTCAGGTAGAGGGACAGCAAGGGAGAAGAGGACAAGCAGCACTGGGCAGCTCTTACTTGGTGACGTCTGGAGCACTGACTGGGCGCACATTCTTCCGCAGGGCCTCGATCCAGTTGCGCCGGATGCCAGAGGTCATCGCTGACAGGGTGAAGACGGCATCCTTTGTCTGCAACAGGGAGGTGACAGGGGCCCTCTCATCACCCAGTGGATGTGCAGCAGCTCCCTCCTGCTCCCTGAGACCCACAGCCACTCGCTACAGCAGTGCTGGGCTCTTAGAAAGGCCACCCTCTGTCTCAGGCTCTTGGGGACAGGTGGAGGGATGGGAGAGGTGGGAGGGGTGCTTGAGGGGGATCCTTCATGAGACCATCTCCAAGCAAAGGCAAAAGAAACCTTGCTGGCACACTGGGCTGTAGTTACATTTCTCTTCACAGAGAAAAGCAAGGCACAATTCTTCCCAAGAATATTTCTAGGTTTCACATTCTCTGAACCTCAGAGAAAGAAAAAACAATTCTTATCTCATTTACTACTCCTGTGTTGTTCACCAGTAGAATACAAAGTAGAAAATTGTTTACCTGAAAGGAATTGATAATTAGATTCTGGCATGAGTGTTTTGATTCACTGACCAATTGAATCCAGGTGTGTGTGTCGGGACTGTCGGCTGACAGCCATGAGATTCAGTGCAGTGGAGTGCAATTAAGGGCTTGGCAGATTCAGTTTAGATGTAATGTAATATAGTGTAATATAGTACAGAATAATATAGTATAATAAAGTAATTAATTAGCCTTCTGATAAGATGGACTCCTCATCATTCTTCCTCTTTCGTCAGGGGCAAAAATATCTACTATAGTGGGCCAAACATGCACTGGTGTAATCCAGCTGCAGACCAAGCAGTCCAACACTCCTGCAAGCAGGGTCAGCTACAGCAGCTTGGTCTTAGCCTGTATTCAGCTGGGGTTTTATATCTCTAAGGAGATCTCCATGGTCTCTGTGGTCACTGTTTTACCTTCCTCACAGATAAAAAATTTCTTTAGATTTCGAGGTGGAATCTCCTGTGTTCAAGCTGGTGTCCATTGCCTTTCGTCCTGTCGCTGGGGACCACTAAGGAAAGTCTGGCTCCTTCTTTTTTGACCAACCCACATCGGGTATTTTTAGATAGAGAGATACACACAAGATCCTTTCTCCAGGATGAAGACTCCCAGCTCTTCCAGAGGCTTTGTACAATAGATGCTCAGCTGCCAGCACGGGTGTACAGCAGCAGGGCACAGGGAAACCCAGACCGTGAAGTGCCCATCCCTGCACACCCACAGAGATATAATTTCCCATGCTGCCTCAGCAGCCATCTCCTGCTGCTACAACAAATAGCCAAGGACAGAACTGTACTGGGGCTGGATCCAGGGTACGGGTTGTCACTTAGAGCATGGTCAGCCAGGTTACATCGAGATCTGCAGCGCTCACCACCCCCCTGCAGCTGTGGGAAAGTTGCCTTGGCCAACATGTCACTCAGACACTCCTGGCATTTAGCTTGGCTCCTGGACTGCCTCCAGTACAGCCTTCAGCCATCCCTGCAAAGCCTCCTCCTCCTCCTCCCTTCCTTTGCAGGCAGGCTGCCCCGATGCCCCAGAGCACTGTCACCCATGAGCCAACAAAACAACCTTGGGCCACCCAGCTGGCACAGGATCTGTACGAATTGCCTCTCAGCATCTCGGCATGGGCAGGAGCACACGTCCCCCCGTGCCCCTGGGTGCTGGCACTCACGTGGATCTGGAAGCCGTAGTTGCGCTGCACCGCGAACTCCGTCACATCCGTGCAGGAGCGCAGGTCGATTTCGCCGTCAAGGTCGTCAGCCTGCAAGCACAGCCACCCGCTGGGACATCAGTGCACAGGCAGCTTTGAGAAAGGCCACCTCTGCCCTCACCCCACAGCTCCCTGGGTGCCAGGCTCAGCTCAGTTCCCCAGCACAGCATGGCCTGTTCTAACCCAAGGGCTGCCAGCAGCATGGATAGATGGAGAGCATCCCACATACCCAGCCACAGGACCAGCCCTTCTCCCCACCTCCCACCACTGAGAGCCCCCCCAGACTCTGCCACCCTGCCTTCATCCTCCTCATCACCCCTTGGCAAAGGGCAGCTTGGCACCTCAGCCATCCCTCAGGAGGACATGGTGCCGTTGCTTGTCCCTGGTCACGCCAGAGCTGTGCTCCTCTGCCCCTGGCCAGGAAGGAAGAAAGGGCTGGTGAAGGCTGGCCACGCTTACCTCCTCTGCGTTCGAGTCCCGGTAATACCTCAGGCTCGAGTCGGTCAGCACAAACCAGTGTTTCTTCCACTGCAGGCGTCGGGCAGGGGGAGGGAAGGGAAAAGACAGGAGGGAAATGGACAGGCAGTTACCAGGGAAAGTGTAGGAACAAGGAGGGACGCTCTGCACTATGACCTCTCGGCCTTCTCTTCCCCCTCCTCCCTCCCAGATCCCCCTCGTGACCCTCAGCTGGGAGAGAGGTGCTCGATGAGCCTCTGTGTCCACACACCGAGCAAGGCACCTCCCAAAGGTTTCCCACTGCCTTTCCCAGCAGGAGAGGCCTCAGTAAACAAGGAGGAAGGAAATCAGCTGGCTCACCAGCGCTCTCCAGCAGCAGGGGATAGGGGAAGAGGAAGACTCTCGTCTGAGGCTTACCTCTCCAGACTCGTCCAGGATGGACATCCATCCCTTCTTGAAATTGAGAAGATCCGGCTGGAAAAAAAACAGAGAATTACTGTCTTGGAGTGACCCACAAAAGGGCTTTCCATGCCAGGGGTGGAAGGTGAGTCTCCTGTGGCAGAACAAAAATGGGAATAGCCTTTTAGGAAACTCATGGGGCTATGCAACCCTATGGCAAAAGAAAACTGGGCATAGCTCTCAGCAGCAGTCAGTCCTGTAAGAGGAAGCAGGAGATAAGGGAAGAGGTTTAAAAAAAGTAAAGGAAAATATGCAGCAAAGAGGTTTCCACAAGGTGCCTCAGAGGTATTTATTCAGAGAGGGGGAGGCAGGGACAGAGAGAGTGGGCAGAAGGGAGTGCTCCACCACCACCAATGGGGCTTGCCTCAGAGATGGAGACAAAGCCACAAAGAACCAGACACGCCTTGTCCCAACCCTGGCTGTCCATGCCCCAGAGCTATGTCCCTCTGGTAACTTCACCACCAATCATTTATTAAAAAAAACATAGTAGCTCATCTCTCACCAAAAACCTACAGGAGGCAATTCAACAGCTGTGAAAACACGTTGACTTTAAACAATGTGCCCCAGGGTAGAGATGAAGTCAGTGTCTGATCCTCTCCCCTCTCCCTCCGATGTTCAACCCTTTCTGAGATTCTGAGAGTTTTTCTCTTACCCAGCTCTATCTGCTCCCTCCCACTACAGAGTCTGCCCTCTGCCCAGCCACAGCTACCGAAGATAAGGATGAAGAGAATTTCACCCAGATTACTCTGTGCCACAAAGTTTCCATGCACTCTCTGCCTCCTCCTAACCTCATGTCGCTGCTGCAGCATCCCAACCAGTTTATCTTCTTCCCAAGGTGGAGCACCAGAGAGCTGACTCAGGGGAACCTCTCTCCCTAGCTTTGCCCTCAGCCAAACAGGCTCGAGCTGGTCCCTCCTCCCACCCCTGCCAGCTCCCAGGAAGTTGCACCATCAAAGAATTCAGTCAAACACCTCTTCTCCCATGGAAGTCAGTTTGCCATCCTGCCCCCTCTCAGACAGCCGAAGCAGGCAAGGACAGTGTTGGAGAAGTGATGGTACCAGAGCTGGACTTCCCAGAGGTTCAGCACCAGACCTGCCAGTCCTGTGGAAGCCACCAGCAGTCCCCACGTCACAACCACCAGGTGAGATGGAGCTGGAGAGAAGGAGGTGGCTCAGCAGCCGATGGCCGCTCCACATGCCCTGAACAAGCCCAGTGGCCAGCCACAGCTGCCCCACAAGCCCAGCTCCCTGGCTGTCCAGCCAGGCCCAGCCTGTCCCTGCTTTCATCTCCCTGAGCTGCTGCTCGTGGTTACACCCAAGGTTATGGGGCGGCAGGAGCAGAGCATGTGCCGGCCCACCCTGGCGCTCTGGCTATTGGCTCAAGCAGGAGCAAGGAGTCCTGCCAAGGGGAGGCCACCGCCTGCTTCAGCTCCAGGCCTGGCCAGAAGCATCCGGCACTGCTCGGCTCCCTGGGAAGGGAGGGAAACCAGAGCGAAAGGACATGGGGGGCTCCCAAACCTCACCTCCTGCTGAGGTGACAGGCACTGCTGGCACCTAGGAGACAAGGGGGATTCATGCACCCCCATCAACCCAGATTTGTGGTGGCTCCGCTGCTGCCCTGAGAAAGCACCCCAAAAATTAATTCTTTCTCTGCAGCAGCAGCTCCTCCCTTTTTCCCGTTATTCCTTCCAGTCCGGTGACTTAAGCTCCAGCTCTGAATTCAGAGTGGTGAGAGGGAAGGAAAGGAGACAAAACATCAAAGTACAACCACCCCCCTCCTGGGACGCACGTGCACTCAACAGAAGAGAGAGAGATGGGCAGGCTCCATGGAGGCAGGAAAACAATATAGGGAGACAGTGGGGCTGCTGTACAGATCAGCTGGGTCTCATCTTATTGAGGATTTACAATCCCAAACCATTAGGTGCCAAAATAATTAATATTAACAGGATGCATGCTGCTGGAAAAATTGCCACAAAGTCCTGCCAAAACTGCTGCCCTCAATGCAGTGCTGGGGCCAGAAAATTCCCCTGGAGGGCTTTTCCCAAGCAGGCAAACTGCACAGGGTTTCTGCTTTCCCTGCCAGCCTTAGACACGAAGCTGCATCTCTATAGAATTGTCTTGGAACTATTCTTGTCACAGCGAGGTCAGTACCATAAGTAGAGGCCTCAGTTGATACACAAAGTGCTTAAAGCCACTTTTCTTCCCTTCCCCACAAGCAAATCCAGTTTCCTCCCCCAGCATAAAAAGCTCAGAGAAGAGTGTGGGGCTCAAATAGAACCCCTCATCCAGAGGAAATGGCCCAGCAGTGGGAGGAGGAAACATCCAGGAAAGCCGAGCCGCTGGGAGAGATCCGGGTGCCAGAGATGCAATGATGTGGCAGGATGCACCCCCGGCAAAATGCACGGCCCTGCACTAGGGCCCGGGGATGGCCTGGGAGGTGGTGGCAGTGATTTTGCCCAGTTGCATCCATACCCATCAAAGTTTTACTCTCAGCCCCACTGCTGGCCAGGTAAAGGCACTGGAGGGTGTTTCAGGTAGCTGGGGACATGAGTGATTTCTGGAAAGACTGACTTGTAACAGCAGGTTAAGGAGCGGCAGCTGCCTGCTCTGGTTGAAGAAGGGCTACAGGGAAGGTGATAACAGTCTGTAAGTATCCGAAGAATGTAAACACCAAAGAAGGAAAAGGGACAGGGTGGGAGCAAAGGAATTGCTCCCGGGTGGTACTGAGGCGCCAGGATGGAGAAGTAGAGGAGAAGAGGCTGCGGGAGGCTGAGAAAGCTCAGTGTCCAAGCAGGATAGTCAGGTGTGTCCTTTCATCACCAGCCTTTGTCATCACCTTGCCTCCTGCTTCTCCCAAAATCTCCTCAGCAATGCAGGTTCTGAGGCACTGCTTGCTCCACCTCCGGGAGATGGTGCAAGGGGCTCTCAAGCCTCCCGGAAAACACAATGTCTCCTCTCCTCTAAAAAGGGAACCCACTTCATAAGGCGTAGGCCCCAGGCCAAAACACAAAGCAAAACCGCTCCAGCTCAGCTGGGTGAAAGCAAAATCACTCCCAGCCTGGAGCACACATGCAGCTCCGAACCTACACGTGCGGTGAGAAGAGCCAGCGGACGACGGGCTCTCCCTTTCCCACCGCCGCCGTGCGAA